TGGGCTATTTCTTTGGGTCTTGTTGGATCTTCTTCCCCTATCCCATGAGCTTCAGAAAGGCAAGAAGAACTCAACCCCTAGAAAGACAAAGATAGCTCATCTCTTTCAATCCCTCCATCGTCTCTTGCTCTCCAAGCCACCTCAACCCCTCCAACCTAAGCTAGAATCTTGCATATGGTGCCTGGAACGGATGAGTAAATGGTACCTTTTCAAAACTTCCTTTCTCCATCTTCAGTGGCTCTGGAGATAACTGGAGCCTTTAGATCCTTGGTTTCGCTTTTTCTACAAGCCCCCACTCTTGCCAGTGTATCCTATAGTACTGCTGCTGCTGTCCTGGATGCATGCTCAACCACCAAGCAAGAAAACAGAGTGCGTGAGGGCTGGCTGACGGCAGACGCAAAAGCTTTGGGGTGCATGCATGCATGCATGTGTTCCTATGCCCAAGCCATGGGGCTTCCCTCATTCTACCATGACTGCATCAGGCAAAAGGCAGGAAAATGGATTCTGGAGCCAGACAGCCTGGGTACAAACCCCAACTCTGCTACTAACTAGCTGTGTGATCTTGGGCAAATTACTTTCCAATGTCCTATGATTCAGTTTCCTCATCTGTCAAGTGTGCACGATAATCACAGCCCTGACCTTATACAGCTGTTGAGCAGATCCACTGGTCTAAATCACACTTAGAATGTTGGCTGGCACATAAAAAGTGCTTCTAAGTGTTAGACACAGTGACAGCGCTGGATCAGGAAGTGGAAGAACTGGGTGTTAGTCTCAGCTCTCCCACTTTCTGGCTGTGTCACCCATGCATGGTAAGTCATTGTGTGCTCCAACCATCAGTCCCTTCACCTGTTGAAGGAAGGTAGAGCACAACCCCCCAGCAGGCAGAGTTGAGACAATGAATGTGAGGGTATACTGTAAAGGGTGGCGACAGGTGGCAAGATGGCAGTGAATGTGTTGCAGAGCTAAGCTTTACTGCAGGGCTAATCAGCCCTTTTTTTCTAGGCGGTGGCAGAGAGAAACTCCATATGCTATTACCCTGAGCCTCATTCCAAGACATCTGGGTCCCAATAAGTGCCTATCAGAGGGCTTACAGCAGTGCCTACACCCCTCCCTGCCTAGGAATGGGGGTTCCTGAGGCTGCTGCAGGCAGCCCTACATCCCCACTCTGGAATGGCTGAAAGTAACTTCAGGAAGAAAGCAAACAGACCTTTCCACTACTCTTTTCCATGGAGCTCAAGGAGCAGCAGCAAATAATTCCAGGAAACTCAGCCGGGAAGAAAAAAAGGGGAGAAGAAGCCTGAGGGGAAAATGAATTACACTCGGACAGGCCCGTCCAGCACAGGACCACGGGCGCCTTCACACTAGCACACACATTCCTGCATGCCTCATCGAAAGCCCACCCATCAGGCCTGGGAGGGTAAAGGCCTACTCCCTGGTGGTTCGGAGCCCCCACCCAGCCTCATGAAAGGGGGCTATTGATCAGGATCCCACAACATGGGACAGTTAGTTACGGCTCATCAAAAAAAAAAAAAAATTCTGAGAAGCCATGGCAATGGCAGAGGGGTGTGAACTAAGAGGGGCAGCCAGAGTTGGGCCAGACATGGGGAGGCAGAGAGGTGATGGTGGGAGGGGCTTGCAAAGGTGAGTGGCACACAGGCACCTCACTGAGTGAGCATTGCTAAGTGGGGGGTGGAGGCCAGAGACCTAGGTCCTGAGAGGAGTACAAAGAACGCTTCTCAGCCCACGGTCCAGGGACTACTGTGGGGGTGCTCACTCCACACACCAGAGACCCTGGAAGAGGGAGCTCTGTGCTGGGCTGGGAGCTTTGGGCTGGCTGTGTGGGGAGCTGGAGCACTGGCCAAGCCAGGCACAGGCCTGGGGAGTTTCAGAGGTCACTTAACCCCTCTGGGCTCCCCTTTCTTAAGCGAGGTCACAGAGGCACTTATTCCCTCCCACCTGCCTCCTAGAGCCGTTGAGAGGAAAGGGCTGGGGCAGCTCATGAGGCCTCCAGGTACCTGAACCCAGGCCCACTCAGTCCCTGTCCCCGACTCTTCCCCAGACACCCCAAATCCTGTCTCCTTTCCCCCAACAAACATCAAAGTGTCAGCTTGATGAAGGCTTGGCCCCCAGTCTCCATGTAACAGACCCACCAGGCCATGACAGTGTGAGGAGCCCCGTTTCACACCCATGATGGGTCCCAGAGCCGGCTTCACTGGTCTGTCTCAAAGGTGCAAGAGGTCCTCTGTTATAAGCAGATGGCACATCCCCCTCCACAGTTCGCTCAGGGAGGGCTGCCTGCCTTGGCCCAAACAAATAGGTGAGGTCACCCTGGGCAGAGCACTTGGGGACTGTGGCACTGATACTCAGAGCAGCATGTCCACCCACTCCACACCCCACCCCATTCCTGTCCTTCAGAGGAAGGTCACAGGGTGGTGAGGGAAGATGAATAAAGGCAAACCCACTTCTAACAGAAGCGACCTTGCACCCTCCCCATGCACACATACAAGTAGCGGAGGATAAGGTAACCCTCCTTCAACTCCCCCCCCCCCAAACAACCTCTGCTTGCTTTAGTTTCAGCCCTCAAGCTTGCTCCTTCCTTACTAGGCTCAGTTTCCTCATCTGAAAAAAAACAGGGCTGGGCCATGGTTTCTCGGGTCCCTTGTTTCTAGCACATTCTCTGCTTCTGTGAGCTTCTCTGTGTGTTCCCGTCAGGGTTGGGGCTCCCAGAAAGGCAACATTCATGGGACTTCTTCAGAGGAAGGGAAGGGTTGGGGCATGAGGGTCCTCTGAGGATGGGGAGTAGCTGGGGGCCAGGCCACAAAGAGCAGAAGAAAGTCAGAAAAGAGGAAGTGGGGGATGCTCAGGTGAAAAAGCAGGGAACTGGAAGTCGACCCAGCGTAGAAGGCTGGAGACCTGGCCTCTGCCTCTAGCACTGTCCCCAGCTCTCCCTTCGGCAGTGGACACCATGAGTTCAGGATCCTGTCCCCTTGCCTGGGACCCTTCCACATGTCCCTCTGGGGAAGGAGCTCCCAGGACTCAACCTGGGAGTGGGTGAGGAGTAGCTGGAAGAGGAGGAAAGATGGGGCTCTTCCTTCCCACCCGAGGCCCCCTTATCAATCAGCCTGACCTCCAGGGCAACCAAATCCCGCGCCCATGAGGCTGGAGGGCTGTGGGGGGTGGGAGGGGCAGTTTTACAGGCTATGCCCAGAACCTGGCCCACCAGTCCAACCCTGTGATTCTGGGTCTCTAGAACTAGGCAATCTCAATTCAAGCAGACACAGCTCATTCTCTGTACACCCAGCCACCCTGTCTCTTTCCCTGAAGACAGCCCTCCAATGCCCCAGGATGATATCAGGGAGGGCCTGGAATGTGTGGTGAGACTCGAGGGCCACTCAACAAAGGATCTAGGCTCTTCTTGGTCTTGAAGTCCCTGTCCCCTCTCAGTCGCCCCTTCTCTAAGTACAACTCTCCGCCCCCACGCCCTCAATACCCTTCCCTCCCTCCCTCTCTCTCACTCACTTAATAAAAGTTCTGATCTGGCTGTCATCCAGGACCAGGGCTTCCCTATGCATATATATCAACTTGTCAGCCCATTTGGGCACCCAGCCGCCAACAGGGGGCTGGAGCACAAAACAGGGCAGGTAGACCCAAAGCTGGGGTGTCCCTGTGTTCCTGGAACTGCCATTCCACTAAGAGAGGCAACAGCAGCCCCAGGCAGAGAATGGCCAACCCAGGCAGGTGGGCAGCCAGGTTAGGTCCGAGAGGACATGGTGAGAGGTAGGGCAGCAATGCTCCCAGGTTGGACACCTTATGTCTCTGGGTCAACAGGACTCTACCCAGGAAACACCAAGAAAGTAGCTCCTGGGCCCTACCTCAACCAAGGCTCATGGAGGAGGGGCAGGGCACTCCAACTCTGGCTTCTACTCTGCTTCTACCATGGACAGGCTGTGTGACATCGCTGAGAGTCTCGCCTTCTCTGAGCCCCCATGTCCACATATGTACAGTCAGGGGGCCTGATCTGAGCATCTCTGCGGGCCCTGTCCTTCAGTGCGTTCATGTTCCATGACAAATCTATGTCGAGAAACCCAACCCAATTTGCTATTTCCTCCCTGCCATTTTGGCAGGAGCAAGGGACAATTTACTGGGAAAAAGGAACAGGCAGAGCCTGGAAATTTTTTTAAGTGCTCAAAGAAACATTTTTTAAAAAGACAAAGTGCCAAGCACTCTGGGAGACCTGTTGGAGTGAAAACAGGCCTTGGAATAGAGCTTTTAGTCAATTCGAGCTGACCAAAAATGTGCTGCATGAGGGGCTGGGCTGTGTCATGCAACTAGGGGCCAGAGTTAGGCAGTAAGGGACCCTTGGAGGGATGGGGGTGTAGGGAGCTACCAAATAGGTAGTGAGACCCAAGAACATGACAATAAAAAGAGACACAGAAGGACAGAAAGGCAATGGAAGGAAGAGGGGAAAATACCCACTGAGGGTCAGACATATAGTGGGACAGGAAGACAGGAGGGTGGAAGTGCAACAACAGAGGCAGAGACAAAGAAAGTGCTGTAAAAGTAAGAGGTTACGGGTGTAGTGTTTATTAAACACCTACTGTGTGTTAATAACTAAAATAATATGGGGTGGGGTTTTTTGTTTTGTTTGTTTGTTTTTTTTTTTTTTTTTGAGTGAAGGATGAAGACAGAGGGAGAGAGGTGGGTAGGAACGAAGCCAGACAGTCTGGATAAAAGGACGGGACACCTTGGGACAGAGCAAGAGTTGGCTAAGAATTAGAAGAAAGCAGGCACGCTGAGGTGGAAGGTCTGAAAAAGGGCGACTACCAGCCAGGGGTGGGGTTTCGACAAACGGACCTAGGACAAACAGATGAAAACGGGACTGGAACCGAAGACGAAAGGGCTGGGAGACTGGCAGAGACGCGGGGACGGCAGCGCTGAAACTCTCGGCCAAATGCAGCCGAGCCCTGACCTCCCGCCAGGGTCCGCCCCGCTCTGTTCACCTGGTTTCCAGCGCGGCGGGTCGCCCCGGGTGCCCTTCACACCCCACGGCGTCCTTGGCGTCCACGTCCGTGGCTTCGGAAGCCGCACGGCCGGCCCCCAGCCCCGCGCCTCGGCCATGCGTCGGAGGCAGCCCCGAAGGCTGCAGGCAGCGAGCCGGATCGCTGGCGCCTCGGGTGGTTGCACCCAGACTGAGCCCACAACCCGGGAAGGACCGGGGGAGGGCGGGGCTCAAGGAGCCAAGGCCTGGTTGCCCCGCCCCTCATAGCAGCTAGAAAATTCCACGCCCCCACCTTGAGCAGGAACCCACCCCCCTTTCTCTATCCCATACTGACCTCAGGCTCCTATACTCTGGCTCTCTACCGCCATAGGACCTCGGGTCCGATCCCTTCCACCTGGGTCCCCTATTTGAGAGGTATCTCCCCAGCAATCCTACTCCTTCCTACTCTCCTAAGTCAGCGCGACAGTGAGGGTCTTCTAGGTCCCCAGATCAGCCCATATGACGCCCATTTACCCCAAATCTCACCAAACATGGGACCTAGAGGAAGGCCTCGTACAGCAGGCAGAGAGGGAACATGGCACTGAGTCGCTTCTCGCCACTCACCCTGGCTCTCCATCTGACCAGAGCAAGGGAACCTTGGGTTCCAACGCGGACACCTTGAAACCCTTCTGGTACCAAGACTATCCTGGACTTTATGAGCAGAAGCATGCCTTATAGACTCACTTAGTTACAGATGCAAAACTGAGGCCCAAGAATGCAAATGACTTGGCAATTATCTAAGGAGGACAATTATCTCTACATTGCAGGACTGTAGTGAGGATACAAAGGGGCTGAGCATGGTGCCTGAGTACAGTCTCTGTAAAGAAAGATTCACTTTTATTCTCAAAGAGATCCACACTGGAGATTTACCACGAAAAAAAGCCTGGACCCAGGACCCTAAGTTACATAATTTAAATTTCCTTACCCCTGACCTCCACCGGCAGCAAGCAAACTTGCATTACCTGATCTGCCTTTGTTTACAATGGAGAGAAGACAAAAAGTTGTCAGCTCTCAGACCTGGTGGACAGTAAGGGGGCAACATTTTAATACTGGCTCTTCACTAACTGCGGTATAACCTGTGTCATTTTTCCTTTTTCAGCCTCAATTTTCCCATATGAAACAAGATAATAATCTTATAACGCCAAGGGAATAATGATAAGGGGACACACAGGTGAAGGTCACAGCCCATCCCTCTATTATCTCCATATACTGTGCCACGAGAGTAGAGGTAACCGACCCCAAGTTGGAGGGACAGGCTAGGAAAAAGAAGAGGAGTTTGTGAATTGAGGTGTGCTTATTTGCAAGAGATTTTCACCTACTTTCCCTAGGCTCAATGTCAGAGCTGAAAGGGAATATGAGATTAACATCTCAATCTTCATGTCAGTCATCCTTTTCTCCAAGGCAGATCTGGCACACACTAGGGGTTCATGAAACATTTATTGAATGAACACGTTCTTCACGTGTGGCAGAGGACTTGCCCAAGGTCACACGGTGAGTCTATTTCAGAATCAAGACAGACCTCCTGTCTACTCCACCTCCTACTAGGTCATGCTGCTTAGTGGAATTCTTTCTGGCTTCCCCCTGTAGCATCATAAACCAGGGGAAGCCCATTCCTCTCTCCCAGCACTGTCTGGTGCATCAGCAGTCCCCATTCTGAACCAGCTCAACCAGAATGAACAGCCATCGGGAGGCTCCTCTCTGTGCCCAGCTTGGTGTTGCCAACCTTTGACTTCTGCGTTTCCAGCAGCTCCTGCGCTACACCTACTACCGGGGCAAGTTCCCCTCTGGGGAAAAGGAGGCCTCAGTCAGCTTCCTCTGAGAACAGGAGTTTCCCTTTTGCTCATTGGTGGGGCGGGAACACGGGACACAGGGACTCAGCTCCTCCGCAGGCAGCAGCCTAGAAGGAAGGGCGGCAGCAGCTATTTCCTACCCTGCTAAGGCATCTCCCTCCCTGGCCAATCCCTCCCCTATTTCCTGAGTTCTGCGCCTTCAGCTTTAGGCAGAACAGTGATGTGAAAGGGCTCCAAAGTTTAACTGCAATCACAGAACTGGGTAACATGAGAGGACCCCCCAAAGGTCATTTATTCCCACCCCCTCCCAACTACAGGAATGCCTTCTCTCTGTAAGCAAATCTGACCTAACCTCTTACAGCTTCATTTTCCTTTTTTTTAAGAAATGACAGGATGACACGCACCTGACAATGTTGTTGTGGGAGGAAATATGAGAAAAGATTTAATAAAAAGCTAATGTGCACTGAGTGCTAACTCTATGCTTGGGAACATTCTTACCCCAACCCTCTATCACCCCCATTTTTTAGGCGGTGAAACTGAGGGATGACAAGCATGTAATGTAACTTGCTAAGCTCACACAGCTAAGAATGGTGATGGCAGACTTTGAACCCTGAAGCTCATTTGTCACTCTTGTGATGGCACCTCTGTCCTTACCCGAGAGAATGGCCCATCGTAAAATTTTCACGAGTTCATTTGTGCCTGGAACTTTTGTATCCAAGCAGCCCTAAGGGCAAAGGGAAAATAACAAAGAAACCCTGGAGGCAGGTGCTGAAAATGGACCCTGAAACTTCGGCTCCAAGCAGGGAAGGTCTTTGAAGTCTCTTCTTTTATCTTAAACATCTACTTGAATTTCCTATTGTCTTTGAGGAAAGCTGGCACTCCAAGAAGATGGCCCATAGTAATCCCTGCATTCCTATGCCCCAGGCCACCGCCTTTTACCACAATGGTACCAGACACCTGGCACGGAGTAGGCCCTTGGTCACTGAAAAGAGGCAATGTTTATGAACCACTTTTGATGTGAGCTAGCATTTTAAGCACTTTTCACATATGATTTAACCATCATGATAACTCTATGAGGAGGTCAAACTATTATTGTCGCTCTCATTTTTAATGGGAAAACTATAGCACAGAGAAGTTAAGCAATTTGCCATCAGTGACACAGTTTGGGAGTGACTGCTGGGTTTTAAGCCCAGACAGCCTGTCAGCATTGGGTAGTAACCACTACACATACTGCCTCTCAGGCCACAACAGAGCCTCTCTTATCCACCCGTCTCCACAACTTTCCACCAAGAAGATCGGGTTATTTCTTGGAAGACGCAGGCCTTATTCCAATTAGATCAGCAGCTCCTTGAGAGTGGAGATGTGGTGCCTCTCCCCACAACTCACCCTTCCCCACATTGATGCTATGTCAGGAGCTGGGCTGTGCACAGGGCTGGTCCTTTATATGTGGCAACTGACTGCTTCCTGGCTCATAGCAGTCTTTTGGACCTAGCATCTATAGGGCTGGTAGATAGACCCCTACAATTTCAGGCAGGAGTCCTCTGCCACCCTTCATGGGCAAAGATACAGCTTCAGAAATGGCTGCCCATCCCTCTACAGGGACACGCTGACACTTCTAAGATTGACTTTCAAAGCTCTGCTCAAGGTCACCCAGCCAAATCAGCTGGCATTCCCAGAACTTCATTGACTTAACTTCATTACTCTCCAAATGTTCTTTGTATGTTTTTCTCTTTCACATAAATGGTCGTCCTTATTTTCTTGGACTTATTTCATGAAGTTATTCAGTGTTTTCAGTGCACCTGACACTGTTCTAAGCTTTCTGCACATTTTAACTTACGGACTCCTTATGGAAACTGTGTAAGTACTATTATCCCATTTTATAGATGAGAAAGCTAAAGCACAAAGAGGTTAAGTTATTTTTCTCCATCTTCTGTACCTGGTGAAGTCTGACATAGCCTGTCAGGCCCTCCTGTGAATAACATAAGCCATTCCCTTTCTGGGGGCTCCCACAGCTCAGTTACCTCCGCAATCATTCTGTATTGAGTTTAGTTATCTATATGTCTTCCTGTGCAATACGAGTTTGAACTCTCTGAGGGAAGGGACTGTATTTTATTATTTATGGCATATTCATTGCTCAGGAAGGAGTTTGGCACAGAGTTGGCACTTAGGGAATATTTCTTAAAGGACTGAATGGAGACTGTGTGAGTGAGGGAGTGGCCCAGAGGCAGCCTTGACCAAACCAAATGGTGGTTGAGAGATTTGGGGTTTTCTTTCCCCAATGTCATTGGGGTAGAAGAATATAAATATGGCTCAGCAGCTGAACATGAAACGTGACCACAGGTGGTGAGAGGAAAAGAGAGAAGGTCTCCCACCCATCCTGCTCTTCGAGTGGCTGGACCAAGCTTGGCACTCCGACCACAAAGCTATTTGGGCTGATGGGATATCTAGTAAGCCACGAAACCCAGTGGCTGTGGGGTCTGCTCTAAAGAATCGAGCTCACTGACTTCTCTGTTGCCCCATCAAAGGTCCCATGACTGCCTCTGCAATTCAGAGGGTTATATGGAGAAGAGAGAAGGGTTTAAATGTCACCCCAGGGAGTTGGGGTTTGCTTCTTTTGGCCTCAAACATTATGCTTCAGTGACGTTGCTCAGTCCTTCCCTTCCCAAGTATACTTTGTGAAACGGTTAAACAAAAAAGCTGTATAATCTTTGGTAAGTTACTGACCCTCAGTTTCTCTACCTAGAAAACAGAAATAACTTTTTTCTGCCCTGAAAACCTCAAAATAATGAATCTGAGAGCACTTTGTAAATGGAAATGACCAGCCGGCAGAGGGCAAAGCTGGGGAATGCTACTTCTCGCAGTGTTCTGCAGCTCACCAGCTGAAGGCAGAATAGGTCAAGGGCCCAGGCCTCAGCCTTTCCCCATTTCCCCCTGGCTGTATATGCCTATGGCCCAATCATCAGCCTTTTCTGGGCCTTAGTAAAATGGGAAGGAGGAAAGGATAATCCCTAGGCACTTGCATCCAAATCCACAGTAATGCGTGTGGATTTTATCAGCTCTAGAGAAGAGGCCCCTAAGAACGGCAACTCTCAAAGCAGCCTTGGCTTTGAAAACCAGCCTCAGCACTTACTAGATGACATATAGCACTTCTCTGAGCCTCAGTTTCCTCACTTATCAAATGGAGACAATAACACCTACCTCCCTAAACTGTTATGTAGAGCGAATACAAAAGCTTGGATAAGGTGCTCTTGTCAGTGGCAAACTCGCTCTACTTAGTCTTTCACCCTGCCTCATCACTTTCTTTCTGTCCTTGTATCATGCTGGCTGCTCATTTCTAATGCCCACTAATTCTGCCTGTATATGGGAAGTAG